AAAAAAAAAAAAGAAAAAAAAAAGAAAAAGAAAAGAAAACATCAATGTGTCTGCAATCGACTTGGATCAGGGTAAACTAAGATAAAGGCTGTAGACAATACAACATGGTCACTCTTTTTTGGAATCAGGGAAGATGGCAAAATGCAAGCTGGCCCAGTGAGGGTTGGGGAGAGGAATGGCAGAACCATTGAAGGGCACGCCCTGGGGGAGCCTGGGTCTGGGTTGATATGCATGTAGGCAGTCTGACACTGCCTGTCAACATATGCTTGTCCTTTTTATTGGCTGCGCCTCGCGGCTTGCAGGATCTTAGTTCCCCAGCCAAGGATCAAACTTGGGCCCAGCAGTGAAAGTACCGAGTCCTAACCACTGGACAGCTAGGGAATTCCCAACATGTGCTTGTCTTGATTGGAATCAGGAATCACTTTGCGTCAAGGTTAGTCCACAGTTCTTAACCTTTTTTTTTTTTTTTTTTTGGTTATGGAGTTCTTTGGGAAAATAATGAAAGTTATGGATCCTCTCTGCAGAGGGATGCACAGATGCCCATATAGACACATTTTTGCATACAATTTTAGGATAGGGGGTTAAGTTCCCTTTGGAGTCCATGAACCTACATGTTGGGAACCTTTACACTAAATGCTCAGCTCCTCTGGGATGGGGTATCAGATGCCCCAACACTGCACAGGGTCCCCACTCTCCAGGGCTGACAACCAGCCTGCATTGTGCTAGAGGAGTTGTTTCCAGGGAAACTGTAGGGGGAGCATCAAAGGCACAGAACAGGGTAGAAGTGAAAGAGGCAGACAAGCAGTAGACTCACCACTCCTCTCACCTTCAGTAAGTTGGCTGCCAATCCATTCCAGAGCCCCAGGACCCCTTGGGCTTTCACTATCTGCCGGAAGCAGTCCACTGCTCCTGAGAAATGGACGTCTACTCCTCCACAGTGGGGAAGGTAGGAGCTCTGAGCCTAGCAGGGAACAGAAGATGGGATGAGGTGATTTAGTCACCGGGAAATAATGGTTCTAGTCAAGTAGTCAAGGTCTCAAGTCTGGGCTCTGGATGCAATGTCCCGGCCAAGATGATGATAAAGAATGGCTGCCACGGGGCTCTACCTGTTGCGTGGGCTTAGAATGAATATTAACATGCAGTAAAGCCATGACATCCCATTCACATATTTGTGGCTATCTTTTCTTAGAAGGAAGCAGCCATTTGGGATGGACTCAACTTCACACTTAACATTGCCTCCCAAACTATGCCCGTTGGATGCGGTAGACACCTCTCAGGCCCTTCATCTTTTCTTAAGTGCCTTCTGTTTCCTTGTCTTAACCGATTCCTCCTCTGTGAAGTTCTCAAGTGGGCGCTGCTCATCTCCCCACATCACAGATGTCCCAGGCTGGGGAGCAGAGGGCAGGGCATTCTTCCAGCTCCCTCTTTCTGTTCCCAGACCCTGACTCTGCTGCTCTCATACGAAAAGCTCTCAGCTGGGGCTCGTGCCACTGAACCAGAATCCTGGTCCCTGCTCTCAGCTACTGGCCTCCTGGCCACTCGTTCACATTCACTGAGGCCTGTGACAACTGGTAGCTCCCCATCTTCCAGACTCACCACCGTCGTAGGGAACTTCGGCATCTGTAGTCACAAGCCTTCCCATACCTAGTTTCTGGACCTCAGCTTCAGTGATCCTCACCTTTACACCCCTTTGGCCACCCCATGGATTTCATCATCACCCCCAGTACCATCCTGACTGACCACCAAAATGCCCCATCTTTGAAAGTAACTTTTTTGTCCTTTAGAAAAACAATTTTACGATCAGATGAAATAACTTTTCACTATACCATCTATATGCAAATGGACTCTATTTGTTCACTGTGAGGGGGACAGCCCCTCATAGCTGGCTTTCAGAAATGGTGACAAGTTTACCTCAAGCTATGCACCTACTTTGGTTCGTTTCTGAAATGTCTAGCTGAGGCTAGTATAGCATTTTATTGCAATGGAATCAAGCTCTTCCATGTGGGAGAGGCAGTAGAGTATAAGAGTCGGAAAAGTATAAACTCTGGAGTCGGACAGGCTGGGTTCTAGCCCATGGCTGCCCCACTTACTTACTGGCCATGTGACCCTGGGCAACTCACCTAACCTTTTTGAGACTCAGTTTCATTATTTGGAAAATAAGAATAGTATCTGCTGTGAGAATGAATGAGATGTGCCTGCAAAGCACTCAGCAGTGTCAGGCACATGGAAAGGATCAATAAATATGAGCTAGTGCTGCTATTACTATTATGTAGAAATTATTCTAAATATCAGTCAAATCCCTTACCTGACCTATTAGTCCTCTGTCTCCATTTCTGAAATCTTACACTTCAGAACTGCTCAGACCAGTGTCCTCATCCATCCAGCTGCCCCGCTCCCTGATGCCTCTTTTTTTTTTTGAGGTATGTGGGCCTCTCACTGTTGTGGCCTCTCCCGTTGCGGAGCACAGGCTCCGGACGCACAGGCTCAGCGGCCATGACTCACAGGCCCAGCCGCTCCGCGGCATGTGGGATCTTCCCGGACCGGGGCACGAACCCGCGTCCCCTGCATCGGCAGGCGGACTCTCAACCACTGCGCCACCAGGGAAGCCCCTCCCTGATGCCTCTTAACCGCCATCGTTCAGATCACTAACCCCTCTAGTCACACGCCCTCTCCCTTGTCTCCCAGGCTACCACTTCCCTGCTGGCTTCATGGTCCTCTTTTTTTGTCCTCCCAGCACTTCTTTTTGTTCCTAGTCTCGAAATCCTTTGTCTTTCAGCTGATTTCCATGCCCCTCTCCCCACCAACCCCTTCTCTGCTCCAAGTCACTGAACATGAATCCACAAAGGGGCAGGTCGGTGCCACCAAAGCTTTGAGGTCTCTAACCTCTGCTGGATCCTCATACTGCAGAGCGAGCCCTGGAAGCATCCTTTCCCATTCCTCACAGTGGCTCTTTCCAACCTTACCACACCCCTCAACGCCCCGCACGCCACACCGTGTCCTCCGCCCTAGACAGGCGACCCTGCCTCCCAGTTCGTAGGGAAAATAGATCTTTTCTTCCCACTGGTGCCCTGGATCTCACACCTTTGAATTCCTCTTGGGCACCTTTCCCAAGAGACCTGATTTCCCCCCCTAGCAGAGGAATAAACTCAAGTCCCTCCCAAATTAAAAATGACTCCTTCCTCCAATCTTTGTCCTATAGACACTGCCCAATCTCATTCCCAAAGTAACATACAGTAAAGTTACGTTGTTTCGGTGTAGAGTTAGTTATATGAGTTTTAACACATGTATAGATCTGTGTGACCACCCTCACAATCAGGATACAGAACTGCTCCATCAGCCCCCAGAATGCTCCTGTGCTGCCCCTTTATGATCAAGGTCACCCCCAGCCCGGGGCAGCCACTGATCTGTTCTGTCCCTATAGTTTTGCCCTCTGAGAATGTCATATAAATGGAAACATACAGCATGTAACTTTTTTGAGACGGGCTTCTTTCACTCAGCACCATGCCTTTGAGAGTCACCATGTTGTGTTCATCAGTAGTTTCTTCTTTATTGCTGAGTTGTATTGCATTGTGTGAATGTTTGGTTATCCATTCACCTGCTGAGGCACAACCCTTCCCACCTCCCCACTCACTGCTCTACCCACTCACTGTGGCATCTGTCTCCATGACTTCACTGAACTGATTCTGACCAGACCTATATCTTTTCCCTGCCTTTTAATAGTTGGTGTAATTATTTTCTTTCTTTACTGGTCTGCTCCTACCCCTGACTAGAAGTTCAGCTCTGTAGGAAAAGGGATTTCTGTCCTCCATCAGGGTGAAGGGTGAACTTTGGGGTTTGGCCTTCCCTTTGAGGTACAGTAACAACCAAGCACAGACCAGAGTATGAGAAACAGGATATGAAATGAACAAGCTGAGTCTCCAGCCTGGAGTTACAGGAACCAAAATGGTCAGGGGGCTTTGGCGAATGTCTTATTTTAAAGCATTTACCTTAGCACTGTTCCGACTCGGCCTCCTTTCCTTCTTACCCCATTGAGAAAGAACTGCTGTCAAACAGATATTAAGCCTCCTTTCCCTTAGAAAGAATCAGCCTAATCACAAGATTTGAAGCTCCTCCTGCTACTGTAAGACTGAAATATTGAAAAACAGGAGATTGTGTTCATGCAGGAAATTAACTGTCTTATTCTGTTATGAGATAATATTATTGATTTATCTTCTGCCAGTTTCCAGTAAAACTGCAAAAAGCCCCCAGTCATGAGTCAAGGTAATAATTTTGCAACCTGAGACCCCCTACCACAACTAAAACAGAAGACACTAACCAAGTGTCTAACTCATGTATAACTCATATACATGAGTTATATGACAGGTCAGTTATAATCAATTTGTGATGAATCGGGGGCCATCTGTAGTCAATCTTAGGACCCTAATAATCTTCCAAATGTCTTTCCTTCACTCTACCTTCACCACCAAGCCACCATCAGCGCTCACATGGACCACCGCAGCAGCTTCCTTAGTAGTGTCCTTGGGACATAAAATGTTTGAAACTCCTTGCCCTCCCTCTCTATAGAGCGGCTAGAGTGATTAAAAAAAAAATCAACTCATTTTATTCACCTGCTTAAAATATTTTAATGGCTTTATTAAAGCCACTTAGGATAAAATATAAATTTCTTACTGTTGTCTGTAAGCTGCAGTGGTAATATAGTGGTAAATATTTAACAACTGGTTCTGTGGGCGGGGGAAGCCCTGAGTTGTAGCATTTGCTGACCTCAATGGTGTAAATACTCCCACCGTGGCAGATTGCAGGCTACCAACTGTGAGGTCAACCAGCTCCCAAATTTGCTGCAATTTAATAATCAGCTCTCCTGAGCCAGTAGGAGATGGCTGTAGCACACGACTCAAAGGCTCAGGCCCTGAGTGACCTGCCCCCGTACATATTTTCAGTTTCATTTTGTGTCACTCTGTTGCTCACATACTACACTTCAACTGCACTGGCCTTCTTTATGTTCTCCTCTGCCCCCCTCTCTCCTCTGAGCCACAGGATCGTGTAACCAACTATCTACTTGACATCTCCACTCGAGAGTCTAACAAACACCTCAAACTTTATATGTCCTGCTCAGAACTCCACCCCAACCCTGACTGTCTCTAGTTTCCTCATGTCAGGAAATGGCACCGCCATTGACCTATTTGATCAGGCCCCAAACTGGAGTCACCCTTAAGTTCTCTTCATCTCTCACCTTCTGCTATCCCATCTCTCACCAGCTAGTTCTAGTGCTCCAAATGTATCCCAAATCTGTCCACTTTCCTTTCTTCCCACTATCATCACCCTTGTCCAAGCCACATCATCTTTCACCTTCACCACAACCGCTGCTAGCTTGTCTACCTGCCCTTATTCCCCACAGAGCGGCCAGGGTGATCTGATCTGGTTACTCCTTGACTTCAACTCTTCAGGGTGCCCCTGTTGCCCTCAGAATGAAGTCCAGACTCTTTCATCTGGCTTACCAGGCCCTCCATGACCTGGTCTCTGCCTGCTTCTCAGTCTGATCTCCTGTTCCTTCCTGCATTACATTCTATGCTTCAGACACTTTTCAGCTCCACTGCCAGTACCTCTCATCTCTCTTGAGTGACGACCAGAGTTTGCTTACCCATCCCTTCGTCTCCAGTCTCTGCCCTCTCCAATCCATCCTGCACACAGCAGCCAGGTACCACTCAAAACTCATCAGATGCTGTCATTGCTTTGCTTTGAAACCTTCACCAACCCCCAATTTTCCAAAGAAAGACTTCCAGAAGGAGTGTTTTCCAAAGAAAACAGAATTCGAAACTCTCTACAGTTTGGCCCCCACCTGTCTTCCCAGTATCATTTCCCACTATCACCCCGTGATGGTTAGTTTCATGTGTCAACTTGGCTAGGCCGCCGTCAGTACCCAGCTATTTGGTTAAATACCAGTCTGGATGTTACTGTAAAGGT